GAACCAAAAATCCAAATAAATCCGCGAAAAAATCCGAAAAGATAGTTTAATTTAAAATGTCAAATATTCGCGTAAATCTAAGAAAGTATTAGGTCCATTGCTTTTTTAATTTAGTTAAACGTAATTTGCCAAATATGATGAATGAATGATGACGAAGTAATACTCGTGTTGTTTCGTAAATAAATAAATAAGTTTTATTTTACAAATTCCTTTTGGCTCCGACGCAATAAAGCAACAGTTTATTCGTTTGTTAAAATCTTGAAATGTTTGATAACAGTTGTATTTCTTCCACTTATTAAGGCACGTCTCTGGCTAGAATTCCTCTTTTAATTTTTTTAAGAAAATATTTAAACCAAATTTAATGTTTACTTTTATGTAGTTTTCAGATATAACAAATAATTATTTTCAATTGTATATTGAGATACATAGGTCTGAAGATTAATCCATGTATTAAAGGAATAAATAAAATTATTATGTATAATTTTATTTATTATTCTTTATACAATGTTCATTAAAAATATTTTTAAATCTTTCCTTTTATATATGAACCACTAAAATAAAAAGTAAAAATTACGGTGTTACGAGTATTTCCTACTGTTAAAGACTACATCTTTCTTGTGCCCATCGTATCGAGTTGTGTTCCTATGGATGTGAGAGGTTTTGTAACAAGTATTTTGTAACGATAATGTTCAACGCATCTTTATGACATCATTAAGATACTCATTATTCATTTCCACAACTCAACATAACACTGTAATATTATATTCTACAGTGTAATATATAAACATAAATGATTACACAAATTATATGTGCTATTGTTCTTAAAATATTTCTTATTTCACCATAACCCCATTTGCATTTACCAACAGGTATTGATAATCTTATTTTGTTAAATCTCTCATCCATGTTGAGTCCAAAAATGAGAAGCTCGAGAACTAGCTAGGTTTTAAACTTAAATGTTAATATTAAAGCAAGAGAAACTTTGCAAACGGATATTTGTGGAAATAGCTAGCGATTTCGAGCAGATCGTGACCAACTTAAGTTTTAGCTCGACGGTCACGGAGAACTAATAAAGCATATAGAATTATGTATATTTTTTATACAAACAAAACAATGTAAGAAAGGTGAATACGACGCTCTTGGGTTTTTGATAGCTGCCGCATATTGAAACAATACATTACCAGCGATATGCCCCTGACGCCAATACACCTGATACCTTTTCATACCGTGTATTTACAACAAAAATCACTTTACGGTTTTTACTTTTTTCTTTCTGACCAAAATAATTGCTCGTGCTAATCCAAAATATCATATAAATATCGACGACATGAATTTATTCTATCTTAAACAAATTTGAAATTTACATAAAATTATTTAGTCACGTATATTAACATTGCTAAAATATTATGTTTTTCGACTGCCTCGGGTGGTGTAGTGGCTAGCATGTACGGCTGCACACCCAGAGGTCCTGGGTTCGAGTCCCGGGTCGAGCCGAGTTTAGTTATTGAGTCTTTCTGTATAGTAAGCCTCAGTAACAGCCCGGAGTTGAGAAGTTGGCGGTGTCTCACTCCCGTGCCTCGGAGAGTACGTAACGCCGTCGGTCCTGCGCCTTAACTCTCACTGGTCGTGTTGAGTGGTCGTCCCACCGGAGTATGAGAGTGACAGGAATAGAGAGTGCACTTGTGTCTGCGCATACACTTGTGCACTATAAAATCTCCTGCGCAGTTGGCTAGTCTCAATGAGATTGGCCGCTGTGGCCGGAATCAGTCGGGAGAACATCATTATGTTTTTCATACAATATTCTTAGAGCCATTATATCGTAAAGATTTCTGCATAGCTTAAAGTTATTGGTCAGCTAAAGACTCGCGAGCTAGTCGAGAGCAGTGCTTTCTACACCATACTGGGTTACTCGCCTTTTACGAGACGCTTTTCCAGCGGCGGAGGAGAATTGTGTTCTAAACCCGTCTCCCCACAGGGAAACTAAGAAGAACGTGTCGTCGAAATGAAGTTTCAGTCGCTTGTTGGCATTTTGCATTTATCTTCAGATTTCAACAGTATTAAGTGATGAATAATTTTTGAAAAGACATCTTCAGGTAATGAGGTGTTATAAATAATTTACGGAATGAAAATATTTTAGTATTTAATTGAGAAATAGCATTGAATAATTTTTCATATCAAGAAAAATAACTGAACTGCATAGATAATGAATTTGCGTCATTTAATTGTGGAACGTACTCATAAAACGTAGAATGAATTGCAAATCTATTGAAGAATTAATAACAATGGTTCTCATAATAAATATGTACAAAATGTAATTTCTTTAAAAAAAATATAACGTAATTTTTTTAATTAAAAGAGTTAAAATTCATAGCTTTCATAGGTTTTGAAATACGTATTTAATCATAGATTAAGCTCACGTGTATTATTCAAAGTTGTGGCATAAATGTAGTTTAAAATACTTTGTAATCGTAAATAAAATACTAGCAATTAACAAAAGCATACATTTTACTTTCGACTTGCAAAAGTAATTAAAACGTTATTTTATAAGCCAAAGTAAATTAATTGCCGATGTATTTAACATAGCTTGCTATTTCCATTAAATTAACTATTTAACATCATGAACATATAACTTTAAAACTTTTGCTGTAATATATAAAAATAGGTCACTTATGTTTGAACAGACCCATTACAAAGTAGTAATATGTTTATCCATACTAATATTATAAATGTGAAAGTGTGCTTGTTTGTTTGTTTGTTTGTTTGTTTGTTTGTTTGTTTGTTTGTTTGTTTGTTTGTTTGTTTGTTTGTTTGTCCTTCTTTCACGTCGAAACAGAGTGACGGATTGGCGTGATTTTTTGTACGTCGCGTTGCGTTGCCTATGTTGGCGTTGTCGTTGTAGAGAGTGACATAGGCTACTTTTTACTGTGGGAGATTATCTTATTCCCACAGGAAAACAAGTTATAATACAACTCAAAAAAATATTATGATTATAATTATTTGAAACTTAGTATATATGCTCTTCAATACAATTAAATGAATACATGTTTTAGCATTTTTCGAAATTCATCCCATAAGGGGTTAAAATAAAGGATTAAATTTTGTATGGAACCTACTTTTTTAGAGATTTTTTGTAGTTTTAACGCGAGCGAAGCCGCGGGTTCTGCTAGTTTTAATATAAGTGACTAAAGTAAACAGATTACATATATTTTACATTATTTAACTGATTTATTCAATCATATATTTTAAATTCATCTTTAATTGCATTACATAAGTATTCATAACGTAAAAATGTAACTCGAAATATGGAATATAAAATTTACATATAGAACTCATATTTACTCATGTTGTTTTAAGAACCAATTAACGTTAAAATATGAAAAGGGAGTAACGTCGTCTTTTAAAGCGTCTCAATCCTGTTTGAATTTCAAAATACATGCTTTATGATTATAGTCTTAAAGATCACTATTGTATTTATCAAGTACGATATAGGTACTTGAAGTATGAAGTATCCGTCGCGACGTGCACTATCTCGTGTTGTGGCGTCGTCTTTCAGAGCGGTCGGTGCAGACATCTAACTTTACAGCGTTTCTGCTTGTAAAACATTGTATACACTAAACAGAGCTAAAGTTGAAAATTTAAACCAAGGATTTTGTTAGGAAAATAAAAGTAAAACCATTTTTTGAATGTTTCTCAGTATGTACGTATGTTTGTATTGTAAATATGCGTTTCTTTTTAACAATTTGTATTTGCAATAAATCTTTAATCTACAATAAAATTAATTTTACTAGGTAAAACGTAATAAAAACCACATGCGTGCCTTTTGTATTTATAATATCATATAATACATACCGGTACTTTTGATTGTTTCAGCGAGTAATAAACACACATACATACTAACATTTATCACTAGTAACTTTCGCATTTATTGCTAGCAACATACCTTCACATCACTCTTGTCCCGGCAGTCGTCAGACAGCGTCCCTAGGTGCCTAAGAGTCGTCTATGTGTTACGCCAGGTCAATGTCCGTGTAAAAACATCATTCAAATCCGTTCAGCCATTTCAGTCATATAAACGTTCGATTTTTTACCATATACGTAATATAATTAGTAGCGTAGCTCGGCCTTGCAGTAGTTATATACTATACTTTATTGCAATTAAAAATAAAACAAAAATTGAATTTTAATAACTGTAATTAAAATACAATTTTTGTTTGCAAATGGACTGGATGGACTTATCTCTAGAAGAGATCTCTTCCAGCCAACTTAGGGTAGTGAGAAATCTTACCTTAATATTATAAATGTAAAAGTTTATACGGATGTTTGGATGTTTGTTACTCAATCACGGCAGAACGGCTGAACAGATCTGAAGGAATCTTTTGTGAAAAAACGCAACTTTTCATACAAAATCATTTTTTAAATTAATCATTAGAGCCTTTTTTTACCTGCTCTCATGCTGCACAATGTTATGTAGCGCCATCTCTTTTTTTTGTGGTTTTGTGCATTATCGCCAATGTAGAAGCTCGGTCGCCTAGTTACTTAATTTTTATACGTGCTAAATTAACGTAACTCGAAAACCTTTACCAAAATTGAATAAAATATGAATAAATTATATCCTTTCTACTGATATATTTCACAAGAAATTGTAAACAACTAATTTACAAGTATTATTTTGAATATCCCATATCGATTAACGCTAGAAGCAACGCTTGCAGTAAAGTGTCTTCATCGACCCTCACTATGAATATTGTTTTGTTTTGCGCTTGCCACGTAAATGTGTGCTTATTTGCAAGTCTACAGAGTAAATAGCAAATTGACTTCGATTATTCACTTCCTTTATGCTATATTGTTAGGTAAAATTAAGTTATATATAAAATTCTAATAAAAACGTAAGTATAAACAAAAAAAAACTCACTAATTGATAAATTAAAAACCTGTCGTACTAAGTTGTACCGCAAAAGTATCGTTCGATAATAGATTCTCTGTTGAGTAGAAACTGGAAAATGAAAATAGGATTCACATTTTATAATAGTAAGTAATTTTAAATCTGTATTCAATTTGCCTTTTCTCCTTTCCGTACCGTTCGCGAGCGTGGATGGGAGTTTAAAGGATTGAATAAAAATGAAAACTGAAATTACTTATAATTCAAAACGCTGGAATTGTTTAGGCACAAATGAAACATATTTCAATGAGATACGTTGTAAAGTTTTAGAAATTTTCCATATCAATTTACTTTATGCGGTTCCTTCAATTATTTACGGTGGGTGTACACTGTACATATAGGTGATACTGGTGTCGCAAAACTCGCGAGCTTGTTGTCTTTATTCGCCAATTTACTTACATTTGCGCTCTGGCCCGCGGGTCGTAAAGTAATATTATCCACCGCTGGGCGGGGGCAATAGTGCCTCTTTTACGGGCCGCGAGCGAGCGTCACATGGGAAATTATTTGACGTGGCGTTTAATGGATTTTTGCCTTCATAACATGCTACCTCCACCCGAATAAAAATGAAAGTGTACCAAATACTTAAATAAGTGGTATGAAATGCAAACGTGGAATAATATTAATTGAATGCTATATATGTATGTATATTATGTTAATTTGTACTTAATTCTAGTTATCTCCCATGCGGTAGAACATAGTGAATGAACATATTATTTTACACTTTTCATGTGTTTTTTTTTACCACAGAGGGGAGGAGGGATGACCTAAAATACTAAATCTGTGACCTCCACCGTAATGTTAATCCTTTATTATTGAGTTACATCAATCACTTAATACTTTATTATAGAGTAAAATCTAAATAAATCCGCGAAAAAATCCAAAAAAATAGTTTAATTTAAAACGCTATTTAAGACATGGCTCTTGAAACAGTGCCCAAATATGGAAAGCTCGCAATCAAAAATCGAAATGAAAACTGTCTTAAATTATCTGTTTTATATAGTGAACATATTTTTATATTGTTTCAGAGTACACAGTGACTAGTTTAGAACTTCTAGAACTTAGAGTGCCTGCACATGTGCCACTCGGTACAAGACCTTCATTGTCTTGTCGGTGGCAACTGGGTCCTACTGATGTGCTTTATTCAGTCAAATGGTACAAAGATGGAAAGGAATTCTTTAGACACGTGCCTCGCGACGTCGAACCACGAAGGAAGTTCTTGCTACCAGGAGTTGATGTAGAGGTAAGTAACATTACTAGGTACACTATATAAGTAATTAGTAGATATTTGTTAAATATTTTCATTTTCCTATGATATTTGAATTTTTGACGGTAATTAATGAATTAACACACGCAATTAAGTCATTTAGAAACCGCCTACTAGTCTGTTTCACATAGCCCGCCAGTTTGAAACTTACAAGCCACCTAAATTTCCAATACAAATAGTTAAATAATGAAGAACCCTCGGTGGCTGTATAATTAAATTAATCGGTTAGTGTGTCGAGTCGTTTACTTAGGTCTCGGCACTACTTCCCGCACAACTGGCGGATATTACGTAGTGAAGAGGCCGGCGCGTAAACAAACTCTCATATGAAAGGCTACTCTGACTTTCCGACAATTAGTTGCTACGTTTAACACTTGCCAACTTCAATGTACACAAAACATTTTTCTCTCTATCTAGCGCAACGCAATATTTACCGAAAAATGCTTATAATTGTACGTGAAGCAGCTAGTGCTTAATGAACTCTTTAAAGGATTTTGTTAAGAAAAATATCAACTCACCATATATGCAAAATATTAAACTCAGATTTTATATTGGCCACAAATATAAAATATAGTTATTAACATATTAAGTTATAATTAAGGCAAATATTCGAGCACCTAAGTTTGTTTATGATCCGATAGTTTGTTCGCAGTGCATAGTGGAGTGTGCAGGAGCTTAATGTTGTTGTTCCTAAGCTTTAAACATTAAATCCTTAAACTTCATTCGAACAAAGACTTGATCGTGATTAGTTGTGAATTTCAGAGAGTAATTTCTTTATTAGACATTGATTTAAAAACATACATAACAAACATATTGAAACATACGTATAAAATAACTTTATTTTTATATAATACTTTTTTTAGATTTATATTAAAATTATAAATGTATTATAATTAAAATTATAAAGTATTAATGTTCAAAATTAAAATTAACAAATATTGTTAGGTACTTTGGTGCCATTTATGTATTTTTTAAATCATTTTATAATTTTGTGGGTAGGTACTACTATCTGTAACAACTATATATATACTGACCATTGAGATGTCTAAAACCCTAGTCTCTTCCGTAACCATGATTGCTGTACAGCATTCGAAACGTAATGAACTAAAAAACAAAAAAAAATCCGTAAAGATAGTTTTATTTAAAATGCCAAATATTCACGTAAATCTAAGAAAGTATTACATGTACTTTAGGGTAACCCAAAAAAATCATTTTTTTTGGACCACCCTAATGCACTTATATAATTATTATATATATGATATTGTTGGATAATAGTTTAGGTATCTGTGAGTGACAATTCTTCCTAAATCTATACTAATATTACAAAGAAGTTAAATTTGTGAGTTTGTGACTTGTAGGGTAATCTCTGGATCTACTGAACCGATTTTGATGTTTGGTAAGAAGATAGTTTGAGACCCTGGGAAGGACATAGGATAGTTTTTATCCCAAAAATCATCCCTTAACTTGTTCAAAATGTGGATGAAAGTTCGTATTGGGAAGCAAGCGAACCCGAGCGAAATGAGGGTGAGTCGCTAGTGGAAAATATTTTCCTCTGGTTTTGTATGTTTGGCTATGGCTATACTTATTTAAAGATAGCAAAAAATGGCGGAGCCTTAATCATATAATACGAAATCATATTTTAATAGACATCTTTGACGAAATTGAATCAATTACGGTACAGCGAAGACTGTAATATCCGTTTGCCCTTTTGTCACTTTTGTTTTTTGATATGACAAAATTACTTCAAATAGGATATATTCATGTAACAAATTAGTTTTGAAGAATTATATAGTGAAAATATTTCAATGTATGTTTAATTATAGCATGAAACTTTATTTTATAAGTACTCGTATGGTATATTAATAAGAAGCAATAATAAAAATCTACTAAACTTATGTTAAAATTGTCGTTTTGGATAGCCTCTACGATATATTTTTTTAAATCCTGCTAATACTTTTCACGCATAGGTACTATTAATTACTCATAGGTATATTTGTTATCCAATAATCACTATTTAAAGATATTCTCATGCAACAGAAATTATAAGGAAAAACCTCCAAAAAATATGTTCTTTTCTTGTTTATTCATATTTTATTCGTTTATTCAAGCGTTCATTAATTTACTGATTTATTTATTACTAATGACTCACCCCGCTTCGCTTGGGTTCATCACTAGGTGATACTTTAAATTGACATAACTTTTTTATTTACTTAACAGATTAAAATAAAACAAAAGCTTCCAATAATACATTGGTGGAAACTGCACCCAAATCGGTTTAGCCATTGCTAAGATTAGCGCGCACAAACGCATAGACAAACAGACAAACCAACAGACAAACAAAAGAACCAAAAATCATTGTTTTAGGTTCTATTGCGTTAATTAAGACCCCTAACATGTAAAGACAGCGATCAGTTACACTTTTACTATATGTATAAATAATCTATACATACTTATAATAAAATTGTAACTAAGTGGAATTTGTACTTTAAACATTTTTTTGAAAATCTTATTGAAATAGACATTATTATCGATACGCAGGCTAATTCTATAGTTTTTAGAATTTTTGTCTGTGTGTCTGTCTGTCTGTTACCGCATCACAGTAAAACCACTGAAGAGATTTTGATGACATTTGGTATGGTCATAACTGGTTATCCGGGTCAACATATAGGTTACTTTTTATTGCGGGAAAATATTTCATTTCCGAGAAAAATACTAAAACTGGTTAGAATAAAACCACGATGATAGTATATAGACAGAGTACACATTCAAATGAAATTGGTATATGTAAGAGTAGGTATACTAATATGTAAAACCTAAGAATTTGGTTTTTGGTCATCTGAACGCGGGCGGTACCACGGGCAATGCTAGTTTAGTTAATAAATAACTACATTAAGATGAATGATATAGTATGTTTATTTATGCTGCGTTAAGTATATAATATTTGTATTTTATAATAATAAAAACAATGAGAAACAAGTATTCAGCTTACAAAGCATAATCTTAGGTCGTAATCAGAAAATTGTGCAATGCTTATTATTTTTTGCGAAATGTTTCTCATGAGTATTATCCATCACAGTTACTTATTTTGTTGTATAAATTATTCGAAGTCGATTGTTTTACGGTTATTTATTTTATAGCTTATGACTACATACCTATTATAAATTCAATTGCAGTTTCTGTTTGTTCGAGCTAATCTCAGAAACCACTGTACAAATATTCATACGGTCTCCACCAATAGAATGAGTAATTATCTAGAAAGGTTATATTTTATAATGAGATGATATTTGCAAATTAAATCGGGAAAAAATCGTCTCTTCTAGGGGCACACCAAAGTGGAGAGAGGGTAAGTCAATAGTAGCTCATAAATCAATTCAAGGAAATATAAGTAAATCAGTTATCTGTTATTGTAGATAAGTATATTTAAAGTGGTCACAGGTATCAGAGATATCTTTATTATTAAAATGCATCAGCTGCGAACAATCTCCCATAATTTAATAACTGCAGAGCGCATATCGCTTCGTATAAACTGTTGTTTCATGTGAAAGCTAAAGCCAATAATTATATTTGAAATAAAATGGATACAGCCGAGTTTATTTTAAGTCACTGCCTCGGTGGTGTAATGGCTAGCATGTACGGCTGCACACCCGGAGGTCCTGGGTTTGAGTCCCGAGTCGGGCCAAGTTTAGTTATTAAGTCTTTCTGTATAGTAAGCCTCAGTAACAGCCCGGAGATGGGAAGTTGGCGGTGTTTCACCCCCGTGCCTCGGAGAGTACGTAAAGCCGTCGGTCCTGCGCCTTAACTCTCACTGGTCGTGTTGAGTGGTCGTCCCACCGGAGTATGAGAGTGACAGGAATAGAGAGTGCACTAGTGTCTGCGCGTACACTTGTACACTATAATACCTCCTGCACAGTTGGCTAGTCTCAATGAGATTGGCCGCCGTGGGCAGAATCGGTCAGAAGAACATCAAGTTTTTATAATCTCGCGGCACAGTGTGAAGTATTTTTGTCTAACGCTACACAGACCACTGGTTCTGCTAATGACAATAACTTGACCAATTTCCTATCTTACCTTGTGCTTCCAATCCAAATTAGGGCGTCCCGTATCTATTCTCATCGTCGTGTCATTTGTCACCCTTTCAGAGTTTGGGTGAAAATGGAATAGAGAGTTTATTTATGTAGAGTAGGTATATAATAATTATGTTCTCCTGCGCAGGCTCAGTGATCCTTATAAAGAAATGCTATTATACTTATTACTACTACACTACACTTATATCCTTATAAATTATATGCTTAATAGAGTACATAACGTGCAAACAATATTAGTATTGAAGTGAAACTTCTTTAGGTGCGCCATGAGTGAGAAAAAAAGGATGGGGTTACAATTTTTGGAACGGAAACTTGGTTACGGAAAAGAAACTTCTTTTTTAAACTATAATATGTATATTTCAAAGAATAAATAAAAAAAGATATTTATTAAAAAAAAATCCTTTCATTTCTTTTGAAATGAGCGATGGAATTATATATAGATGAGTATTGTTAAAAAAAATAATTGAAATATTTTTTATATATTATTAATATAAGTTTTTTCACAATAGAATCTATATTGTATCTCTGTATTCGTTTTTATTTTATTGGAGTAAGTAATTTATTGAAACATTAGGTACATTTTATTTAAAAATTAAACTTTATCTTAACACCATCTGTATTATATGAATTTTAAAAATGTTGTTTTCCTTTCTAAATCGATAAAAAAGAATTTTTTGTATCTTTCCTATCCTAATTATTTAAAACATAAATTGAATTTCATGAAAAATACTGATAACTTACAGAAGTTTCACTTCTTGGGCGTGTACAGGTACACGTTGATACACACACTCTTTTATTTTTTAAATTAATACACAATGTACGCTTAGGTTTTATTGATCAATCTTCTACAACAGTTCAAACAAAGCAATTGATATTTATTTTATTATCTTTTCTATTGCCATAATTTCTTACTTAATTTCAATTTGATACCAAATAGACAGTAGTAAGTAAAAGAGTATATTAGAATCAGACGTCGAAACTTTTGAGTTATGCGTTGCCCTACTTGGCCTTTTCAGCGTCACAGCGGGGGAGCAACGAGTACTAGGACGACCTTAAAATTTATGAGCCCTGACAGCTGCCTTAACCTTAACAAGTTTGCTTTACAATATTTGCCTTAAAACTAATCTAATTATTCCATAGATCGAAAATATAAAACAAAAATGGGACAAATGCGAGTTTGACTCAGATACCGAGGCATCCGTAGCATGAAACGTTAAAATAACATTAAATTAAGTATAAGTTTTTTTTGTAATGTAACTAGAATTTTACGGTTTTCGAATTGCCGAACTTATTATTTGATATTAATTTTAATTTTATACCTCGCGTTCCTGAGAAAAAGGGTATTGACACACAGATAGACAAACGGACAACGAAATAGGTATATAAGGGTTTCTTTTTCCCTTTAGAGGTACGGAACCCTAAAAATGATTGAAATTGGATATCTTAAATTCTTAGCTGTAAATACGTATAAACGAAGCTAGAATGCATGTATAAAAGATCTAAAATAAGTTAAAATACGATATGCTGACAGTGATTATATTTAATTAACTTTCTTTGTTTTAGCAATCTAGTCCTAATGGGTCTAATGTAACGCTCTCGCCGGCGGTGCTTGAAACCGGCGGACGATACCGCTGTGAAGTATCTGGCGAAAGACCACTCTTTCCCACCGTTTCTGATCATGCCGACATGATCATAGTTGGTATGTAATAGTATTGTAATATATGTTATTAATCGATTATATTATACAAAAAATAACAAATATCTCTAAATACGAATGATCTGCATAGTAGCAGATGAGCAAATATTACGAGCATGTTTTTGATCGACTTACGAGTAAAAAAGATATGGTAATCAATTCAGCTGTATTTTTTGTGTTACGCGCTAACTTCGCCTATTGTACATAATTTTTCATAATTATTTTTATAGAATTAGCTTTTCTTCAAAGGTCTCATAAAAATTTAATAAACTACGACGGGATTTAAGTAATTTTTAATTTGTAGTACTTTTATTCTTTAATAATAATTTGCTTGTTATATCTTATTTCTTGAATCATAAATTAATTTATCTAATATTTCAGCTTTACCAGCTACGGGTCCAATTATTAGTGGATCTCGTCTTCGTTACCAAATAGGGGATCGAGTGCATGTAAACTGCACGTCTGGACGGTCGCGGCCTGCTACGAGGCTGACATGGTACATCAATGGAGAACCGGCACCTGCCGCTGCCGTGCTTTCTCCTGAACATCACCAACACGAGGATGGACTCGAGACTACAAGCCTCGCCCTTGATTTTAAAGTTAAACCTAAACATTTTAAGAAGGGAGACCTAAAATTGAAGGTACGTATGATTAGCTTAAATGTAATAAACTGTGAATTATAGCATTGAAAATTATACTTTAATTTTTATTAACGATGCAAGTATTTCATTGTGTATTTTCTTTACTGTAGTGTCTTGCAACCATTGCGACTGTATACTGGAGGAGTAATGAAGAAAGTGTCCAAGGTGAGAGATTGAAAGGATACGCCCGATCTAGAGAGCTTTTAGAAGGAACATCTCGGGCGGACCGCGTGCGGGCGGCCGGGTCCGGCCACTATCAGCCAGCATATACAACACTGTCGCTTCTCTTAACGTTAGCTCTTCATCTCCCATTCAGACTTATAGTAATTTAAGAATCATACATTCCATATGTATTTGTGTGGAAAACAATTTGATAGGCTTTAGTCAAATACGATTAAACGTTTTTTGGGTGAAATAGTGGTGTTATTGGGAAGTGCACAAACGACAGATGCATTTTATTTAAATCCGTGAACGATTATATTTATCAATGTAACAAAATTATCTATAATATACGTAAATCTGTGTTAAGCAAAAATGTTGCCAGTATAATTTGAATTTCGTTTAGTAAGTATATGTACGAGTATGTCAAAAATTAATTAGTTTTTGTCGTTATTACCGCCCAGAGTTTCATCTACTCATTAGTATCCTTTGACAAATACTATAATTACTTACTTTTATGATAAATTATATTACTGTAGATATTAATATTGTATATGATGTATACTTAAATTTTATCAACATTTTATATAGATGATTTATTTTCAACATACGAATATTCTAGGACTAAATATGACCTCACATTATTAATCCAAAGACATTAATTTACCAAAGCATTTTCCATTAAAATACAAATAGTATTTACAACTTTCAAAATGCTATGTAATAAAATATTTCAGACCTTAACATACCATAAGAAAGTATTTTGACCGATACAGTATTACGTTTTAATTCACGTTTGAAGTTAGCCATTGAACGATTGCATTTATCTGATATATAACTCAACAAAAGTTCGGAAAAGTTAGTGTTACTTGAGTGTAGTTAATAAGATAATCATTCGAATATCATAACTTAGACTATTCTTTTAGTAAAGAAATATTTTTAGATTGTCTATTAGATTCTAATTTAATTGTTTTCTGATTTCCTTTTTCTAACACAAATTATCCATACTATATTATATAATAATTACTTATTATATTCTAAAGTTACTTTTGAAATATTCATGCATGCATGCATGTGTTTTTTTTTAACTTAAGATCGTATTCGTTCCGCACGAGAGCGTGAAAGCAAAGACGCCGAAATTTGTAATCATCACCATACTTTGTGCTTCAGTGAGTCATCTGAACATAAATGTTTAAATTTTAATATAAATGATTATAATTCCTTAAGATAAAGGAATAAAGTCTCGAATATTGTATTCCTTTGAAAACGTGCATACTAGAAAATTAATGTAAAGGAACTAATCGTTTAATTAAGTTCTTGAGATGTGAAATTGATATCTTAAATATATGTACATATATCAGTCTCGGTGTACTGCAATAGAAGCCGGTACGTCGCTGCATGAAAACTATAAGGCCTTTGATTATATCCTAGTCACTGATTTAACTTTACTTATTAAATATAAAACAGAGAGACACTTAAGTATAACATGTATAAATGCATATATTGTGTAATTAATATCTCAAAATATTATTTGAAAACCTGCTTAGTTAATTTATAATTAGTAAGATTCAAAGCAAAAGTTTGTATTGACATTGTGTGCACACATAATATTATGTGTAGTATATGATGTGTTACATATTTTACATAAATCTGTGTTTAATTAGTGCCGACAAACATACAATTAGAATAAGTAAATGTAGAACTCCGAGACGATATCTATCTAAGCTAAAATGTACGAGTATTTAAAATTCTTTAATTCAATGAAAAACTGTACAGGGAAATTCTGGTAAATTTCTTATTGCGATTTTAGGGGTGTGTTACAAAAATATAATATATACGTAATAACAACGTGTCGTATTACTTCTGCGTTTAATCTTGAAATGGATAATATTCAGATATAGTCCGAAAAACAAATATTATTTAATAAAATTATAGATAAGTATAATTAGACTTTCTCTTACCGTGAACACGATAATGTAGGGGTGTGGTATTGGAAATGTAGAGTCAAAACGCAGTCAATTTGCGGTTTAACCGTACTAGGGTAAAATATTATATGTAGTTGCGTATAATGAAATAAAATGTATGTATCAGGGATTACAAAAGGTCTTTTTACTTAATAATTATGCTGAAATTAAATTTTATATTAATTGTTCGCCATTATGATTTTTAGTGATTTATTTCTGAGTAAGAAATAACGAGTGTTTAGAAATTATCCGAACGATTTTCCGTAAATATTACCTTTATATAGATCACTTTAAAGGAGTTACGTTTTATATCAAATTGTACATACTACGTATGCGCACTGTACATAAATAAGAAAGTAGATAAAAATGAAATCTTTATTTCACAGTATTTATTTTTAAAGTTTAAGATGTTTTATCGAAATATTTCTATTTAACTACATTGCTGTTTAATGTATGAAGCATATATTTCATGTGTATACTTATAAGCCTTCCTATGTAGCTAAACAAAATTCTTATCGTCATACACTTATGCGATTCAATTAAAAGTACGATTTTATCTGCTGTTATGAATATAATTTGGAAAATGTTCATTAATATCTCAGTACATTTTTAATATCTTAACAACCCTAATGATTAGAGTTACATAACCGAATCCAGCGAGAGATATTAAAATGATCATTATCATTAAATAATTTCATTATATTGTGTTTTAAATGATCAATACAATTACTGCTAATCTAACACAATTTCCACGCGCCATTTCTACAGTTGCCTTTTTATAACTTTTTAGTTTCATATTCTATATAAGCAATCAACGTATCATATACGAGTGTGTACCTCTTTATGTACATCTAGTATTTGGGTAAATAGATAGAAAAATAATAACAATTTTAGTATTTTAAAATTATATTATCTGTTTTACATTCATAATGGGACAATTACAAAAAATAAATCATTGTTGTCAATGTACAAGCTTCGAGAGTGTTATGAAAGGTAATCTTTTAAGGTATCTCTTTGAAATTGTTGCTTATTGTTATGAAATATTATTAGTATTAAATTATGAATATGTAAATACTGAGTAAAGTAGCTCAAAGTAATTAAATATTAAACTATGTGATCTACACCCAGTACCTATGTTTTTCATTTTATCTCGTAAACATGATAATTATTCTTTATCGTCAATTTTTCCCCTTTAAAATGACTTAACGTTCATTTGCATGAATTTTGTGAATACGTAAAATTATCAACAGCTTGTATATGTAAGCAATGTGCTAAAGGAATTTATTTTTTACAAGCATACGTAATATTCTCATGTACCTAAGTAGTCCGTAACCACTAATCATGGCACCCACTTCACGAGAAGTGCACAGAATCGTTAGTGTTTGAAATACAAAAGCAGTAACTTAGTTGACCGCTTGAAATGAAATTTAACTATGAGTTTTAATTTAGATAATATACTACTTGTAAAAGTATTAATCTCAAGTGTGTACTCAACCAACAAAAAAAAATTGTATAGCATTTGATGTTTTCTTTTACAGTCCAGAAGTCTCTAACGCATATTTTTTTAAATAAATAACACTATAAATATGTATGAGTGAGTTATGTCCTAATAAGATTAAGGGCAAAATATCTGTTTGGTCAACAGAAATATTAATTCGAGATTGAACCTGCTATCCTCATATTAGAAAATAGCTCTCTATTCTCTAGTATGAGAAGATACTCTTATCTCAATACTATTACTAGAGAATGCCTATCAGTACAAAATGCACTGCAACTTAACGTTTTCATTTCTTGTTAATAAAATATTAAATAACTATCAGATTCTTATTCCTCTTAAATAACTGGAATTCATGAAAACAGCAAGTGAAGCGAATTTAATAAATATTTTACGTAATTGTTAATTTTCCGAACGTCGAAACAAATTTTTCCTTCAGCAGACTTCCAAGGCGTGCCGACAACAAAATTTCAGGGATTATAAGAATTCAGTACCTCAACCCTAGTTTTTAATTAAATAATAAATTTCAAAAGCAATTAATATTTTAACAGTGCAAAAATTATTGGCAAAATTATTTGCGTACGAAGGGCGTATACATATGTAAGCATGTTACAAAGAGTACTAATTAACCAATCTTACTAATGAGATAAAAAGTTTGAATAGGGTGAGGTGGTATTTAAGATATTCATTATAAGAAATAAATGAGAGCATTACACGTTTTTTTGATACTACGATTTAATCTGATGTAGTTATGTTTTGTTTGTATATGTACTTACTATGTTTTGCGATAACATTTTCTATTAAATGATTATTATTAAATATCCATACTAATGTTATTATAAACGTCAAAGTGTGTTTGTTTGTTTATTTATTTGTCCTTCTTTCACGTTAAAACAGGAGTGGCTAATTGGCGTGATTTTAAGTGTGAAGATAGTTGGAGAGTGACATAAGCTACTTTTTGCCGCGGGAGATTATCTCTTTCTCATGGGAAAGCACGTTATACTACAACCCAAAAAAATATTCATGACCAGAATTACTTGAAACTTGGTATTACGAGTATATGCTCTACAATACAATTAAATAAATACGTGTTTTAGCATTTCTCATTCACCCGGGGGTAAAATAAGGGGATGAAAGTTTGTATGAAACTTACCTTTTTAGAGTTCTTTTTATAGTTTTAGCGAGAGCGAAGCCGCGGGTTCTGCTAGTTAAATATTTTTGGAAAATCTTATTGAAATAGTCATTATGATCGATACAGAGGCTGAATCTATAGTTTTTAGAATTTTTGTCTGTCTGTCTCTCTGTCTGTTACCGCACCACAAAAAAACCACAGGAGGGATTTTGATGAAATTTGGTATGGTGATAGCTGGTTATCCGGGTCAACATATAGGATATTTTTTACCGCGGGAAAATGTCTCATTTCTGAGAAAAATACAAAAACTGAAATGTAAGAGTATACTAATATGTAAAACCCAAGAATTCGCTTTTTGGTCATCTGAACGCGGGCGGAACCGCGGGAAATGCTAGTATACTATATAATATATTCTTGATTACGTTTTGTTTGTATTTGTGTAATTTTTTAACACCTCGCGGTTGAATTCTTAGAAATTAATTGTTAACCGAACCACCTGTGGCTCCGCGTGCTTTGAAAGGTTAATATCTGACCATTCCATATCATTAAAACTTCAAAACATCATAGAATAATATATTA